TATATACATTAGATTAAAAATAAATGATTTTAAATGATTTATCATTAATTAAATTTCCCAATTAAGACAATAAATTACTTGAATGATATATTATATTGTTTTTTATATTAAATCACATAAAATAACTGTTTTTGTACATTATATAATATTTATATGAATTGTTTGCATTGTTTTACATCAACCATAACATAAATATCAACCAATATCACTGTCCTACAGTCAACTGTGATAACATATTAATATAAAATATGTTTATATTAATATAACATACTATATATTAATTGAATATGTTTTTTTTTAAATAATAACAGATATTAAAATATAGAATAAATGTAATAATAAAATAAAAAATTTAAATAAAATAATGTTTATATGTCAAACATGGCATACATTATTCAAAGAAAGTACACAAATGCAAAGTTTGATAGATGCTGATAGACCCATAAAGGATAAATGTATACCCTGTTTCTAAGAAAGCAAGCTGCAGATGATGATATGTGGTCAATAGGTCACAGTTGTATAGGGACAGAGACTCAGGCCGTTCTCTCACAGCCAAGGTGTTAAACGACACCTCTAATGAGTCACGTTAAAGGCTAGTCCACTGCTCTGTTGTCTGTGTGAACCTTTAATGGAATTTCACACCACACATGTAAGTGAGCTAATGAGGCTGGCTAAACAATATTAAGAGCCATAACACCAATATACTGTAATCGAAAAGACATTTCAGAATGAAGCCTATTCGTATGTAGACTGTTAAATGTTTTTTAGCCTTACATAATGATTTTTTAAACTTTGATCAGCATTAGCATTGCACTGATCAGCATAGTGTGCTGCTTATCCCAAACACATAAAATGGTTGAACACTAAAAATATGTTCAACCCCTTAAAAAGCTTTTCACTATATTCAGCCTGTTTGAAGGTGTGTGGGTGAGTGTGGGAGTTTTGAAATGCCACTGTTTAGACTGGCACCTTAACGTGGCACCTTGAGAACTACAAGGTGCTAAACCTGCGCGAGCGACACAGTTCACGAGAGTCTCCGCGACCTCACCGAGTTCATCTTCTCACAATCACTCGACAATAACAATCAACACAATTAATAGGTTTTCAGAAGCATCTATTTGCTGACAAGACAAGTAAGGATAGTATGTGTATATACATTTGTATATTAAAAACATTTTTAATGGTCAAATGCTTTAGATTCATAATTTGATCCAATATGTTTATCAAATATTTATATAACTAACTAACTAGTGTTATGAATGTAACATTTGTCTTTGTGTATTTTAATTTTAATTTTGTGTGTATATAAACTTATAACACTTATTAACTTAAACTGGCTTGCCCAGGAAGGCTTTAGACTAATAAATAAATACATAAAAAGCAAATAACAGAATATTACAATGATTTCTGGAGGATTCTGTGACACTGAAGACTGAGGTAATGACTGCTGAAAATTCCCAGGATTAAACTGCGTTAAAAAATATATTACAATAGAAAACCGTTATTTTAAATTGTAATAATATTTCACAAAATTACTGTTTTTACATTATTTTTGATCAAATAAATACAGGTTTCATGAGCATACCAGTCTTCTTTCAAAACATTTAGACTCCAAATATATATAGTTTGACATTTGTGTTGTAGCAGGTTTTTGAAACATCTCAGCAGCTATGATTTTTGCACTCTGACTTGTCCTTTCAAAGCAGTGTGTGTATAGTGTGACCTTTGTGATGTGAACTTCCCGAACCCTGATCTCACCCTCTGGGAGCCGAGAGGTGCCACGTCTGTGGTGGTCTTTGGCACCTCAGAGGCATGGGGGGCGAGACTGTTAGCATCTATTAGTTCACAGTCTTATAAGACCACAGTGTTCACCATCTCAAAAAGAATAAAAAATACTTCATTTTATTAAGGCATGCGTTTCTATTCAATCCTAACATTTAAAGCAACTAACTGTCCTCTTGAAATTCCCATGGGAATGACAATGTTCTCTCCCTTTTTACCCTCCTCTCGTGGTGTGCAGCATTTTGCACCCTGAGTGTGAATCAAAACAAAATATCTTGAGACAGAGGTGCTGCAAATCAGGAGAAACATGACATTGCATTGAGAGAACGACATGAGTATGTGGTGCCCAATGTGAAAAAAACGTGCATTTAGTGCACTAAATATACTGTAAGTACATCATGAATCTCCAGGAGTCTAGTGTTTGATTTTCACTCATTTCTGAACCAGAATTAGCATGTTACATGATCTTTACCCTCATTTTTTGTATATTTTCCCACCCACTTCTACAGTTTCAGAGACGGTAAGTGTTGAATAGCTTCTCTACAAACTAAAACCTCTCAACCAAGCGAAAAAAGGGACTCTGCTCCAGCTCTGTTTCCCAGGTCTTGTTGTTACATCTTTCACACAGTTGCTCAAACCCCAAGACAGAATGAGCTGGCAGGCAGAAGCAAGTATTCTGCCAAAAAAAGAAAAAAAAAGAAAAGCCCAACACAAACTGTGCGAATCACATAAATGTTTATTTTTTGTAATTCATAATGTACGGTCACAAAACAAAACCATCAGAACGGAAAACATAAAATGAATTATTTCTGTAACAGCCAGAAAATATTTCCAAATAAATATGCTATAAAAATGAAGAAGCAAGTGTTCACAAATAAACTTAGAATCAATTACACAGAGTTTATTATTAATTATGCATAATGAGAAGGAGGTTTTCATTCCGTCTTCAACATATGGATCTGTCCAGTTTTTCAGGTATGGAACCCTGTTTCTGCCACGGAATAAAATAATAAATAAATAAATAAATAAACTGTGACTTTTTATCTCACAATTCAAACTTTTTTTCTGGCAATTCTGAGGGGAAAAAAAAAATCTGAACTTTGAGATATAAACAGAATTCTAAGATATAAACTTGTCACAGAAAAAAAAAAAAAAGCCAACTGCGACTTTTATCTTAAAATAAATTTTTTCACAGTTGCAGGGTTGTAACTCACAATTCCGACTTCTCAGAATCTTGCAATTCCAGTTTTATATCCTGCAATTCAGAATTTTCTTCTCAGAATTGCAAGTTTATATCTCACAATTCTGAGTTTATATCTCAGAATTGCAAGATAAAATTCAGAATTTTGAGATATAAACTCAGAATTTCAAGAAAAAGTCAGAAATTTGACACATTTTCACATTTACCTTTTTTATTTATTTATTTTTATTCCATGGCAGAAACTGGCTTCCATATTCAGGTGTATAGATTTCATTTTGGTGCATGTATTGTTTATATTGTGTTTTTTAAAAGCAAAGCAGTAATATAGTGAGCATGCACAGCTTTGTTCGTTGGTTACAAAGGTGACAGCTTCATAAACTTTAAAGGGATAGTTCAGCTAAAAACAAAAATCTTCATTATTTACTAACCCATGTCATTCCAAACATGTATGGTTATACAAAATAAGTTTTTTTTTGGACATAGAATGGAAGTCAACGTGGTCCAAAAATAATATTTATAGACATTCTTCAAAATATCATATTTTGTGTAAGGAAGGCCATGCAGTTTTGGAACGACATGAGTAAATCATAACAGAAATGTCATTTTTTTGTGTGTGTACCGTTCCTTTAAGAGCCCTATAACCAGCTCATGAAAACTAAAATGATACAGGTTACCAATGACTAGTATGGTCTAACCAGTTTTATTTGCAGTGAGACATACATTACATCATCCAGACAACACATTGAGAAACGACACATTACTTGGTAAGTTACACACATGCAACTCAGTCAACAACACATACAGATATGTGGTTCTGTGAAGCTCAAGTCCAAAGTGACCAAACCGTCCGACTTTTACAGGATTCACAGAATGCAAAATAATAAAATAAGAGCGCAATAGAGAAAGAGAGTGAGACAGCACTAGACTAAACAACACATTTAGTGAAAGGCAAGGTAAAGCGAGGCTAGCTTTGTAAGGTGCTCCGCCAATTTACAGGTAATAAAGCAAAA